TAAACATCACAGCATAAGATTTCGGGTTATACTTGGTCAGCTAAGTGGTCCTTCTCACCCAGTTTGCTCAAGGCTGCCTGGCAGTGACTCAGCAGCACATTAGCCAGCATTATTTCGAACTCAGGGCATGCCCTTTTCCCAAGCATTGCCAAAGGAAGCTCTTCAATTACAGGAAATTGTCCATGCTCTTCCTCTGACATCCAGGTCCAGCATTGCTTTTTTTGTGAAAGCTCTGTGACATTCTTCCAATTAGTTTGCCTTTACCTGAATGCTACACTCATTCCACGAGTGATCAGGATACTTAAAGAAATGCTATCTTCTTGTGGGTGTGCACATTTGCGCTTTTGACTCCCTATTTAGCCCCTTGCCATGAACTGACACACAAGATCCAGGTTCACTTCCAAGGAGTAAAGTTCCTTTTTTGCACAAAATGCACTTTAGCTACATTTCAAAAGATTTCACAACAAGTTACCGCAATGCACACCATAAACTTGGAGCCCAATGCATATGTCAGTCAGATGGAACAGATGGTCAGTGGAGCCCGCTGACACAGCAGTGTCTGAACAAGGAGGGCTGGACTACTCATTCAATCATGAGCTCTTTCTTGCTGATGCTGCAACACTTGGCAAGCTCAAAAACCTGCAAGGGTCTCTCCCTTGCAAGTCCAGCTGTAGCTAAGCCACTTACTGATAAACAGGGCTACAGGGAGGGCCGGCCAATTCTTACACACACATCAGCTAGGTAGGCCTGGAATGCAGGCTTTGTTGTGCTCTCTGATAGCAAACACCTGCTCATTAATTAGTGCTGATGCTATGGCATCTTCTCTTCTCTATTCTGATGGACTTTCACAAGATGGGAACATTCTTCACCAAATGGCCATTGGTCATTCACTGTATCACTTATTCCAACCAGGTTTCCTCCCACAGAATGTGCCAGCTACTCCATTGGTAATCCAAGACTCGATATCTTTGGGCCCTTTGTTTACTCATAGACCATCTGATGTGATATGTGATGCACTAAATATTCTGTAATGCTCAGCTCTTCCTTTCTTTTGGGGCAGGTACCACCTCTTTCTCTCTGCAATGACTTCTGCCATCCCGGGTACAGCAAGAAGAAGATCGAAGGGAACAAATTTTGTTGCTATGACTGTGCCCAGTGTCCTGATGGGATGTTCTCAAACCAGGAGGGTACAAAAAGCAGCTTCATTCATTCATTCATTCATTATTAAAACCTTTTCTATCCCATCCACTACAGAACTTCCCAGGACAGCATATAATAAATCAGTAGAATAAAACAAACCCCACAGCTTCCAAACATTAATAGACTAAAACCCCAGTTAAAATCAATTAAACATTAAAACCTTACATTGTTAAAGGGACAAAAAATCGAAAAGGATATACTTTAACTTTATTTATTTATTTAGAATATTTATATGCCATCCTTTGCAAAAGCCTCAGGATGGCTTACAAAGATAAAATACAAATATCACCAAACATAGATAAACAACGAAACCCTTCTTGAGCTTCTATTGAAAGTTGGCTCGTGATGAGGTTAACCACGGCATTAGGTGTAGCTACCATTACTTGGTCATCGGTGACCCATCCAGCCACCTCAACCTCTCCCACCCCCTTCTACTTTGCCTTCAATCACTCCCAGCATCACGGTTTTTCCAGTGAGTCCTTCCTTCTCATTAGGTGACCAAACTATTTAAGATTCAGCTTCAGCATCTGTCTTCTAGAGAACACTCAGGATTGATTTCCTTCAGGATTGACTGGTTTGATCTCTTTGCAGTCCAAGAGACTCTCAGGAGTCCTCTTGACAATTCATGTGTGGCAGTTCTTCAGTGCTCAGCCTTCCTTATGGTCCAACTCTCACAAGTGTACATTGCATCTTGGCAAATCAGAGCTTTGATTATACAAACTTTGTCAGCAAGGTGATGTCTCTGCTTTGTACTATGATGTCTAGATTTGCCATAGTTTTCCTCTCCAGGACGATGCATCTTTTAATTTCTTGGCTTCAATCAATGCCTGCACTGATCATGCAGCCTGAGAAAATCTATAAGCCATAGTCAACAATAACTCTGCAGCACAAATAGGATGCACTGAGGTTATGGAAAGATAGAGAAGCCTACCCAAAAAGACGCCTATTCAAGGTTCTCAATTGGGCAATTGCTTCAGGGACTTTTTGTGGAGGTCACTGATACATTAAACTTGAACATACTAAAACCAAAATCAAAAGAATAAAAAGAAGAAGAAGACTCTCACTCCCACAGGGTAAATTCCTTTCAGGCAGAAGTAGAAACATGTCTTTCCAAATGTCCTTTGCTGGTGCCAGAAGGCATTCTCCACTATACTGGCATGCAGGGAGACAGGTGCAAGGGGGAGGGAAAAAATGTAAGGGTTAATGCAACACCCAAGCCTCACATGGCAATTTGGATTGAAAAAAATTCTTAAAACCATGTTGCTCCATATCAGATGCAATTTCAGGATACTTTTTTTTGGACAGCAAAAGCCTGAAGGACACCCAGTAACATATTATGACATCAACTTGCTCAGCACACTCTGAACACAGCTCGTGATTTTAAGCTCCTCTGCAGTCCCCCTTGCTTCTTGGCATATTTGGGCTTTCACTTGCCATTCTTCACTTCAACAGCAATGCCAAGAACAACATTACTGCCACAAAGAGCTACAATTCTGCCCAGCAAGTAGTTTTAGTTGGCATTTCTCAAATACACCAGATATTGCCGGAGGATTCTTAAATTCTGGTGAGTGATAGCAAAGTAGAAAAAGCTAAGACACATTTAAAGCAGCTTGCCAAGTATACATCTCAAGTGTGGGATGCACAAAACAGCCAGTGTGGGTGAGATAAAGAAAATTAAGGACAACAAGGATGGGATGGGAGAGATAACTCTTTTGAATCTTTATACATGTTACATGATTACTCATTTTCAGACATGGAAAGCTGCATGAATTGTCCAGAAGGTCACTATCCCAACCAAGTCCATGATCAATGCACTCCTAAGATGCCCCACTTCCTAGCCTTTGAAGAAACTTTGGCCATCATCTCAGTTTCTTCTGCATTTCTGCTGTCTCTGATCACACTCCTGGTGCTTGGCAACTTCATTAGGCATCGAGATACTGCCATTGTCAAAGCAAACAACCGGAACCTCACCTACATACTGCTCCTATCACTCCTCCTCTGCTTCCTCTGCTCCTTGCTTTTCATCGGAAAGCCCAACACTTTGTTCTGCCTGATGCGACAAGCTACATTTGGCCTGGTCTTCTCTGTGTGCCTCTCCACCATCCTGGCAAAAACTGTGTCTGTGGTGCTGGCATTCATGGCTACCAAACCAGGATCCCAGATGAGGAAGTGGGTGGGGAAAAAACAGGCCTATACCATTGTCTGCTCCTGCTCCAATATTCAAGCAGGCATCTGTGCTCTCTGGCTCATGACTTCTCCCCCATTCCCAGATCTGGACATGCACTCCATGCCTACAGAAATTGTACTGCTCTGCAATGAGGGCTCTGTCCTCATGTTCTATTGTGTCTTGGGCTACATGGGGCTGCTGGCTGGAGTCAGCTTTGCAGTGGCCTTCCTGGCCAGGAAGTTGCCTGACAGCTTCAATGAGGCCAAGTTCATCACCTTCAGCTTGCTAGTCTTCTGCAGTGTGTGGGTCTCCTTTCTTCCCACCTACCTCAGCACAAGAGGAAAGGCCATGGTGGCTGTGGAGATCTTCTCCATTCTGGCCTCCAGTGCTGGCTTACTGTGCTGCATATTCTTCCCCAAATGCTACATCATTGTGCTGAGACCTGGGCTCAACAACAGAGAGCAGCTCATGAGGAGAAAGTTTTAAACACTGAAGTTTTGGGGATCGTGTTGGAACAAAACGTCATGGGCATGATTACATGCACACAGGCAACTTCAGCTGCGTGCTGTTCGCCATTCCACTCGTTCCCTTGAAATAGGCACATAAAGACTCAGAATTTGACCATTTCTGAGTGTCCGATTTAGAAATATCTCTACATGCTGGGGCATCCATGTAAACATTCTGGGTACTGATAATAGAAATTAAAATCTTTACATTAGAAGTATTTTAGATGGAAAATTGACGGACAGAACTACCCCACAGGATGACTTAAAATGATGCAGAGCAGAAATAATCAGAAAATGAAAGAAGGGAGGGGAGGGCATGGAGAATTCAGCAATGCCAGGCTAGGCCAAAATTTCTTCATTGGAATTACAGGAACCCTGGGTTGCAGTCATTCCAACAAGGACAGATACCCAATCACAACTTGCAAGTGTCAGCCAATCCGATGGTCTGATTCCCCGATAGTTCTAACATTGTCAGGGATCAAAAGAAAATTCTCCTTTGGAAGAATCAACGCTCAGTCTATGAAAAAGGCATTTTCTGAAAAAACAAAAGATGGTTCTGTTCCGAGACTCGTTTGAAAAGTGGGGCTTAAAACACCCCATGAATGAGGTTGTCATGAATTCAGAGTACATGTTTGGCACTGTGAGCACTGCAGCAAAAATTGCACTCGATTTTGCAGGCATGATTAGCTTACTGCTTGCAGCATTTCTGGGGTCAAGGGCCACTGCATAACCTGCTCTTGGATCCCACCCTAGAATCATTCAAAGTTCCCATAAAGTTGCTGGCCAACAACTGAGAATTAGAATGGCTTGCATTTGGCAAGCATGTTTGTTGCTTCACTGATTGTCCAGGAGTTGGGATAGCAAGCGGTGTCCGGCTTCATTATCTTCATAACCTCCAATCACAAGCACTGTCATTAAGAGAAGAGGCCAAATCTCCAGTGTCTTCTAGAAAAACTCTAGGGACAAAGGTCCACCTCCAAAGGTGCAGATGGATACTGAAAGCACACGTGCATATTTTGCTGCTCACAAAGCAGCTCACAGGCTAGAAATTGATAGACCTCAGAAATCTCAAACACTTTCCTCCTGCCTGAAGTAGGTTGGCTTCAAATCAGTGAGATTCTCTTGGCATGAAGAAGCCACCTAGTAGCACTGAAGAGAAGACATTTGCACCTTCAGCGGTTCATTGGCAGAGGCAGCAGACTCCTGAACTCAGCTTGGATGAGAATAAAGGAGGATAGTGGTGATTCTGTGGAGCATGATGTGGGGGAAAGGAAGAGAAGGAGAACATCTTCGAGGAGACAGATGGTGATTGTGGTGCTTGTGCGCTTCAATATATTTTTCTTTACAAACCATGTTTTTCCATGTAGTCAGTGCTTGCAGTGCTGGATGGGAACTCTGGACACCAATGCTCGAGTCTCCACTCAGCCTAGAAGCTCATGAGTGACAAGGCCACTCAGTCAGCTGCCATTCCTTAGTTTTCTGAGAGAGTCATCCTGTCTTTGTTCTTTGTGTTTAGCTCTTTCGTTATCCCACTATCACTCAGTTAGATGAATCAGTAAGATGTAAACCAGTGTAAGAAGCATTTTTCGTTCCAGTACATTTAGATGACATTTTATCAGTCCTCTCTCATTTCCTAGACGATTTCCGATGGCATCTTATATTTGCTGGAGTAGAAAGAAAACCAGAGTGGCTTACTAGGTATAACTTTGCTGGAATTAGGAGCAGCTGACAATTCTTCCAGTTTGCTGGCACCTGTGAGGCTGCCTGGGTGAGCGTGGGCTGAATCCCACAAAAGACCAATATCATTCCCAGGTTCTTGAACACATAAAATGGAGAGAAGAACAACCATGTATGCCACATTGCATTCCGTGCAAAATGGAAACAGCGTAAATATATATAGTTGTTCGACATACACTGAAGACGTTATTTGCATTCAAAGACGTTCGTTCAGTCATTTCTTAGCCAGACAAAATGTACAGTGTTCATTCAACTATTTCTCACAGCATACTTGTTGCTCTGAACACATTCCAGATTTGTTCTATCTTTCTAATCACATTAGCTAGCCTTGGATGTGGCACTCCAGATGAGGTCGGGCTAAAGTGAATGGAATTTCAGGAGTGCCTCTAACCAAATGGAAAAATCCAAGCTTGATTGTGGAAATGTGTGTTTGCATGACAGTTGCTCTCCTCTGAACACATTCCAGTTTTGTTATCTCATTCCAATAGCATGTTACTTAGGCTGGGATGTGGTACTCCATCAGCCCTCTGTCTACAGATGGTTGAATTTCAGGAGGGCCTTTAATACAATCTGCATGTTTAAGAGAGACACAGGGAAAGTGTGTCATGCATAACTAGACATTCCCTCTTCCCATTTGGGCTTCAACTGGGCAGTCTTTCCAGATTGTTTCCACTGCTTATAATTTTATTCACTTTTAGAGTTCTCTTTTCACACTGCAAGACTTTGCTTTATTTCTAGTGTGGTGACCAAGTTCTACCAGCACATCCTGGCCTTGGTGTTTGCCATCCATCAGATTAATGAAAATCCCAAGATCCTGCCCAACAACACCCTCGGCTTCCAGATCTATGACAGCTATTTCAATGCGAGGATGACATACCGTGCCACTATGGACCTTCTCTTCAAATCATATCAGATGATTCCCAACTACAGATGTGGTACCCAAGGAAATATTATAGGAGTCATTGGTGGACTGAGTGCTGACATCTCTTATCACATGGCAGATCTTTTTCGTCTTTTCAAGATTCCACAGGTAGATTATTTGATACAATTGAGAGGGGCTCCAATGTGATAATGGGAAGTGGTGTTTTACAGTGCATTCTTCCCACAGGAACTTCATTATACTTTCCAAGAGCAGAAGGAGAAACTACAGGATGGCATTATCTCTGAAGAGAATCTCTACCCAATCTCTCTCTGGTCCAACACCAGGTGCCACTCTTAAGGACCACTCCAAGATAAATTACACCTTGCTGAGGAGAATTGCAGTTCTATGCACCACAGTGACTTTCTTGCACCATTCCTCTAGCATACATTTCAAATCGGGCATCCCTTCCATCATGAAATGATGAAAGGGTTCAAAGCATTACAGACCAACTGAGCATTAAATAGCATGACAAAACAGGAAGACTCAGTGCAAGAGTCACCAGCTACATTACACCTTGGAAAGGGAGGAAATGGGAACAAAGAATACAGATAAGTACTCCAGGATAAACTGGTTTTCTGACTGCCCCCTCTATCCAGAACTTTCTTTGCCCCAAGTACTTGGAAAGAAGGTGCTATCCTCAGGTGTCCTGGAGTCAAAATTTCCTAAGCACCTGCTTATCACACCAAATATTTAACAAGAAATTACATGATAGGGTTCTTTTTAACTTATTTGTGGGATTCTTCTGGATGAATTTTGATACAAAACAAAGGCATTCAATGGAGTGTTCAGGCTGAAGAAGTCCTGACTTCTTTCTTTCCTCTCTCCCTTTCCTCATTATTCTTCCTTCCTTCAGTTTGCATATGGATCATTTGAAGTAGCAGCAAGTGATGGATCTCACTTAACCTCCTTTTACCGAATGGCCCCCAATGAAGCTCTTCAATACCAGGGAATTGTCCAGCTACTTCGGCATTTTCACTGGAAATGGGTTGGCCTCATCACGATGAATGATGAACATGGAGAGTATTTCTTGCGCACTATTGAGCCAATACTTTCCCAGAATGGAATCTGTTCAGAATTCACAGAAAGACTCCAAGCCAATTGGCAGTTCTCTGGGATAGAGAGCGTTCTCAATGAAACCATCAGTCATATTCCCCTTTTCATGAAGAAAAAGGGCACTGTGGTTGTTACACATGGAGAAAGTACAAACATTCTCTCATTGGCTACTATTATGCTGATAGCCACACTCTTTCCTTTATCAGGTCAGGACTACAGAGAGATTCTTCATACTAGCAAAGTGTGGATTACAACAGCGCAAATTGATTTCACCTTGCATATCCTTCAAAAGGCTGTTGGTATGCAGATGTTCCATGGTGCACTTTCCTTCACAATCCATGCAAAACAGCCTCCAGGCTTCCATAGTTTTCTGCAGAGAATCAGCCCTTCTGCAACAAAAAAAGATGGATTCATCACACTTTTCTGGGAACAGGCTTTTGGGTGCTTTATGCCAAATTCCAAAACACTAGGAGATATGAATGAAATATGCACTGGAGTAGAGATGTTAGATAGCCTACCTTCGCCTCTCTTTGAAATGAGCATGACTGGACACAGTTACAATATCTACAATGCCGTCTATGCTATAGCCCATGCCTTGCACACCTCTCTCATGGCCATGTCCTCCCATAGAGCAAGAGGGGGTAGGAGCAGGCTCGCAATTCCAAGTTTGCAACCCTGGCAGGTAACCTTCCAAGTCTCTATTTATTTACCAACATTGAGAGCATGGAAGGTTGTGATCCATGTTGCTCAGCTGGTGGATAGGTTCCTATTTCTAATGTATGCAAATACCCATGTCTTTCCAAGCCCAGAATTTTGCATTCCTTCATTTTCCTGAGAAATGCTCATGCTTTCCAACAGTCATGTTTGAAACTTATTTATTCTTTTTCAACCCATAATACCAACCGTTGCAGCATGTCATGAGTGGAGCTGGCTGGCACCAGGGGTCCAACTAGATAGCCCAGGAAATCCCTTTGGACCTGCTCTCTTTCTCTCTTTCTATAATTCTATATCCCTTGGTTTCCCTCTATCTTTTATGTGTTACCTCTTACCAATGTGACCATAAAATTTCAGCCCTAGAAGGCATGTAAATCCAAATTTATTTCCTAGAATTTCCAAGGCTTTGTCCATAAAATTTATTCTGATTCTTCATATCATCTCCATGAGTTGCTTTCTTTCTCTACTTAGCTCAGTATGTGGATTCAGAGATTCCCATTCAACAACAATGCTGGAGAGGAAATTAGGCTGAATGAGCATGGAGAGGTGGTGGGTGCATTTGAAGTCACAAACCTGGTTGTATTCCCAAATGACTCCTACATCAGAGTCATAGTGGGAAGGCTGGATCCTCATGCTCCTCCAGAGGAACAACTCACCATTAATGAGACAAGAATCCATTGGCCAAGGCACATGGCTCAGGTTGGAATCTAACTGCACTGACTCTCAGTAATTCATGTTCAACTTTTTCTGAGAATATTTCATGCACCTAGAAGTTTACAAGAATACCTATTTGGGTTAGATAAATATGGAGTAAAAAGTGAAATGCTGATGGGGGAGATTAGGTGTAGGCTAGTAGTTAATGTGGGCCTGGGAATCAGGAGATGTGTGTTCAACTCTGCCTTCGGTATTGAAGGTCATTGAATGATATTGGGCCAGTCATGGGGACTCAGTCTAACCTCTCTGACTGGGATTATGCACATGTCACAAATGACTTCTTAAAGGGAGGGGGTGACACATGTGTAATGCAATAATCAAAAGAATTGTGATGTGGATAGTTCAGAGGAAAAAGGACATGATGTTGAAAATGCAACAGCCTGTGAAGAAACTAACATCACAGCATAGGATGCTGGCTTATACTCGGTCAGCTAAGTCGTCCTTCTAACCCAGTTTGTTCAAGACTAGCTGGTGGAAATACAACAGCACTTTAGCTAGCATTAGATCGAACTGTCCCTGCATATTCAAGGATTGAACGAGGGGCCCTGAGCATGCCCTTTTTCCAATCGGTCCCAAAGGAAGCTCTTCAGTACTAGGGAATTCCCCATGCACTGTGTCTGACTTCCATTCACTGCTGCCTTTCCCAGGAATAATATTGTTCAGGAATACTTTCTTGTGACAGCTCCAAAATATGCTTCTAATTAGTTTCCCTTTACTTGAATGCTAAGCCCATTGCACAATTTATCAGGATAATTAAATAAACGCCAATCTTCCAGTGCATGAGTGTTGCCCTTCATAAGACCCCTGCTGTGAGCTGGGAGAGTTCTTCAAAATTCCAAGGAAATGACAGGCAAGATCCAGGTTTAATTACAAGGAGGAAAGCTCTTTCTTGTGCAGAAAGTACACATTATATACCCTTTCAAATGTTTCCCAGCAAGTTACCTAAACACACAGCATGAACTTGGAGAGCAAGGCTGCTTTCTTATGGATGGAACTGATGGTGAGCAAAGCCCCTCAAGAGATCAGTATTAAACAAGGAGGGTTGGGCTATGCAATGGCAATTCTTACAGGCACATAAGCTAGTTAGGTCCACCACTGATGGCTTTGTAGCGCTCTCTGACAGCAAAGAGCTGCTCAATACTTGGTCTTGACAGTATGGTATCTTCTCCATCAAGCCAGGCTTTTCAGGCTAGCCCAGAAAGAAGGAGGCTTTCATCACCAAATGGCCATTGGCCATACACTGTGATGCTTAGTACAAATATTCCTCCCACAGAATGTGCCTTTTGCACCTTTAGCAATTCAAGACGCCTTACCTTTCGGTGTTGCATTACTCGTAAATGGTTTGAAGTGAGATATGGTGCACAAATCTTTCTGCAATGCTAAGTCATTCTTATATCATTGGACAGGTGCCACCTCTTTCTCTGTGTAATGACTTCTGCCATCCTGGGTACAGCAAGAAGAAGATTGAAGGGAACAAATTTTGTTGCTATGACTGTGCCCCATGTCCTGATGGGATGTTCTCAAACCAGGAGGGTATGAAAGACAGCTTGTATGGTTAAAAGGTTAAAAAAATACAATAAGACTTCATTTTATTTTTATGCAATGAATCCTTTCTTGAGTTTCTCTTGAAAGATTTGCTGGCAATGGCTTTAACCATGGCATTACTTATGCAATTTATAGATATACTTTTCTTGATATTTGTTTAGAAAGAATGGGCTGTATCTTTTAGTATGGCTGCAAGAATAACATGAACTCAGGTCATGCAGAGGTAGAATGGCCTTCCCTTAATGGTATTTGGCAATGTCTGGCATCCAAGAAGGAGTTAAAGATCATAAAAGCTGCACCACAAATGAACTGCATTGACTCAGCTTCTCAACTGGGCAATGACTTGAGGACCTTTTGTGGAGATCACCAACCATTAAACTTGAACGAAACAAAACAAAACTGGCACCGGAAATATAAAATAATCCTCACTCCCACAGAGTAAGTCTCTTTCAGGCTAAAGACGTGGAGATTTGTCCATCCAATTTTGCCTCCTCTGCAGGAGCCCAGTCAGCAGTGGCTCTGCTTTGCCTGGGATCCAGTGACTCCTTCCTAAGCCCAAAAGACCATCTGGTGGTGCTAGAAGGAAATTCTCCACTGAATTGAAATGCAGGCAGCAAAGTGCAAGGAGGAGGGAAGGTTGTAGAAAATGCTGCTTCACTCACTGCAACACCCCAGCCTCACCTAGCAATTATGATTAGAAAAAACACTTCTGAAAGAGCATGTTGTTCCACATTGGATGCAAATTCAGGACACTTGGTTGCTCTGAAAAGCCTGCGGGACGCCCAGCAACATGTAGTAAACTCAACATGTGTGGCAGGTACTGAACTCAGCTTATGATTTTAAGTTTTTCTCCTGCCCCCAATTGGGTTTTCACTGGCCATTCTTCACCTCACTGAGAACAGCAAGAATAACGCTGCTACCCCCAAATCCTCAATTCTGAGCAGCAAGCAGCTGTATTCAGTACTTAGCAAATATTCCAGAAAGGTTTAGATCACATTAAGAGAATGATAAGAAGGAAAGGATAAGAGTCCTTTCGGTGAACCAACTATGCACTAAAAGGGTGGAAAGCGCAAAACAGTGAGCATGGGTGAGATCAAGAAGCATGAAGAGTAGCACTGCTAGAATGGGAATGGGAGAGATAACTCTTTTGGATCTTCATATATTTCCACATGATTACTCATTTTCAGACATGGAAAGCTGCATGAATTGCCCAGAAGGTCACCATCCAAACGAAGTCCAGAATCAATGCTCTCCTAAAAAGCCAAACTTCCTAGCCTTTCAGGAAACCTTGGCCATCATCTCAGTTTCTTCTGCACTTCTGTTGTCTCTGATGACGGTCCTGGTGCTTGGTATCTTCATTAAGCATCAAGACACTGCCATCATCAAAGCAAACAACCGGAGCCTCACCTACATTCTCCTCATCTCACTCCTCCTCTGTTTCCTCTGCTCCTTGCTCTTCATTGGAAAGCCTAACACTTTGTCCTGTCTTCTTCGACAAGCTACTTTTGGCATGGTCTTCTCTGTGTGCCTCTCCACCATTTTGGCAAAAACTGTATCTGTGGTGCTGGCATTCATGGCTACCAAACCAGGATCCCAGATGAGGAAGTGGGTGGGGAAAAAACAGGCCTATGCCATTGTGCTCTCCTGCTCCAGTGTGCAAGTAGGACTCTCTGCTCTATGGCTGGCCACTTCTCCCCCATTCCCAGAT